TCAAATTATTTTAAAAAGCAGCAGAGGCTAAACGGGATTGCCCACAAGAGTGCTCAGTACCCCTCAGCACTTCTCAGAGCTCACTCCCCCTTCCAGCTTCAGCACCGTACAGCCACTACGGCTCAGAGCCTCCATCAGGGCTTCCTGATCCATCTCTGTTTCTACCTGCTGTCCAGCCCAGCTGTGTGACCTCTCATGTCCCTGTGAGTTTCTTTCCCCAACTCATTCCCTCTTCCCCTCAGTATTCTTCACAGCAGTCCTCCTCACTGGGCTCAGCTATTCAACCAGAAGGCAGCAGAACCTCCTCTCCCAAAGGATTCCTGGCAATCCCCTCCCTATCCTGGAGCCTGAACACACATCAGCCAGAACACCTGGTTCTGGTGTTCTGACCTGTACTGAGCTCCCATAAGACAGGCAACACGCTCCTCGTTGGACTTTCACACTCCTCTCTCTCATCTCCCCTAACAATCCAGCACTATGTGCAGTGCTGGTAGGAAAGGGGCCAGTATGTCCCCCTGCAAACAAAGACTCATGTGGGTTTCTAGATGGCTCTCCCTATACTATATACATCACCCCAGCAATAAAGCGCCCGCATAGCTAAAAGAACACCCAGCTTGGTCCCTCTTCCTGCAGCTCTCAGTCCCAAGACTTGACAGGGCCCGTCTGTATGTCAATCAAGTCACAGCCTCTCACAGGCTAGCCCTGGTCAACCATCCCCAGTGACATACCTAACAACCCTGACACATACACTTTATTAACTTTACAAGGTTTTTCTTGTTCACCTGTTAGCTGGTTGTCCCTGCACTCCCTAGAGTGTAAATTCGCTGAAAGCAGGAACATGGGTTGTTTTAGTTCTCTACTACAGTTGTGGCACCCACAAGTGTTTGACACAGAAACTATCAATACCTGTTAAATAACAAGGGGTGGGAGGGGGGTGGGGGGGAGGGGAGGTGTGCAAGAAATACCTCCAGGATTTTTATGTGAACAATTTAAATTATGGAAAGAGATGAAACATTTTAAGTTGGTTATAATTGAACTGTCCTGTGGTGACTATAAATCTTTTAGATAAATACTAAAAATTAGCTGATCTCAGGATCTCAGGGACTACTTACAGTTTTAGAAAAGATTATGTGACCCTGTTAAGTGATCTCATGAAACTGTGCTCTTTATAGTTCATTCATGTTTTTGTTATAAACTCTGTCTTCTTAACTGTCTAGCTATCAGCAATAAAACTACTTGATGCTATAAATAACTCTAATTTCCTCCTCCTAATTTGCTATGAACTGGAAAGTCAACAGGTTAGAATGAGGCCTAAAATAACAATGAAGAGGCCTACAGTGCGGCCCTGCCATAGGAGAGGAGATGGAGGACCCCTAGCTTCCTTTAAGCTTTCACAGGTGCTCCATAAACACTTACAGATTAAATGACTCACAATTCTGTAGTTCCTCAAGAACCACCACATTAAGTAGCTGTCAGCCACATTCTGTCGGTGGCACTTGCTAGTTTCATGGACCCACAGGCTGCACAGAGCTGTTCTTTTCTATTATCTCTCCAGCTCCTGACAGCAACTCAGTGAGGTTATGTAGCACAAGGGCCATTCCATGTTATGACACCTATTTTTAAATCTATGGAAACTGTACCCTCAGACATTGTTTGCCCAGTCACACACCTGGTAAAAACCCCAGTTCTGTGTTCTTCATTCCTTTCACTAAGCCCATGGGCATTAAGACACTGCTGTTTCTTTAGAGTAAAAAGAACTATGGGTAAGGCTCTGATGCAGCCGAGACATTCTGCTGTTACATTTTGTATTTTAAAAAGAACATTTGCCAACATCATTTACTGCTAGCAAGCACATTCAATCCCTCATTTTTCACCGTAGCTAACAAGGAACAGAAATCAACATGATAAAGACTTCTAAATTTGGCCAGTGTTACTTCACAGATCACAGTCTTCCCGTGGAGCAAGTAAGAATAACCTGAAACACCCAACACTGAAAACCCACCCTTCCTCTCCACCTGAAAAGTTTCAATCTGTTCAAGGAACTTCTCATGTTCAATCTCATTACAGGGGCTACTCAGACATGTAAGTTAGGCTTACTTACAAAGAAGAGAATTCATAATTCCAGTTCAAAGTGTCTAACATACGTACGTCTCTGGCCACTGGCAAAACTGCATGCTCCCTGGTCAGAGACAATATGAACTGTGTTCTCATAGCACTATGTTCCCTTCCTTCATTACCGGTTTGTGTGAGTCTTTGTTTGCCCATCAACAAATATTTATTGAGGGCCTGTTCCATGCCAACCATCTAGGCACTGATCAGCAACTTACTGATTGAACGTTTGTCTACTCACCTGTCTCCACAGGTGCCAGGAGAAAAGTTACTGCTGCTTTTCTGCTCACCGAATGCCCTGTATGACCTAGCAGAGTGCCTGACACATGGCAGGGGCTTAACAAACATTAGTTCAATGAATGAGTGAGACACAGAGATAGAGAGAAGAGAAGAGACTGCTTTGTATGTAAAGGAATCAGGGCTTTTTACTGCCCAGAACACGCCTCATGATCCACCAGCGATCCGATGAATTCTGAAAGGCACCACATGCAATGCACAGCTGTAGGCATAGCAGCTGTCATGCAAAGGAGCAGAGGCTCATAACTACAAAGAATTCAGCCCTTTGTTTCTCTCTGCCTGACTCCTGACCTAAATGAAGTTAGGTCCATGGTCCATCTACCTGTCAGATGCCTGCCTTCAACATCTGGCTTTCTGAAATACTAAGTTAATATAGCTACTGAATGAAATTTATGTTGATTTATTCTCTGACATCACTGCCTGAAAAGGTATTTAAATGTCTGAGGTCACATATAAGACCTAAAAAGAACTAAGTTGATATAAAACGCTTCTCCATTTCAGGTCTTTGTAAGCCATAAATTAGCTTTACAGAGACTAACAATAACGTTTTGACTATTTAAACTTTAAATCATAAAAAGCAAACAGGACTCCTTACCAGTAAGGTGTTCAAAACAGTTAAGTTTCGAGAGTGAGGTTCATGTACTTATTTTAACTAAAAACTTAAGATTCACTGGGTTATACACAGCTTGGAGTAGTTATAAATAATAGGGTAATAAGAAATATGAACTACTGAACTCAATACAAAAACCCAGCAATATGGGCAGGTATAAAAATGAAGATGTGTAAGTTCATGTACCACTAACAAAAGCTTACTTTCAGTTTTTTCCTCCACATTCCAATTTTAAAAATTAAGGAATAAAAAAGAAAAGAAAAAGGTAATAAAATGTTCTAAACCTGCACACCAAAGTATGCTGAACAGAGAAAAGCCTTAGGATGAAGTTGTTATTAACCTATGACTATATTTAAATATGCGTTAATTATGCTTAGTAACAGAGTAAAGATCTCCTGCCTTCCAAACTCCAGACCCTGTAAATCACAACTTACCTGGAAAGTCTGGTAACATTAATTATACACAAAATTTGAACACTAAATAAAGGAACAATCTGAATTACCTAAAGAGTTTGCAAACAATTATGCACTAGGCCTAATATCAACAAAAATCTCAGCACTCACGTAAAACAGTAGGCAACAATAAAAACACCTGGCAAATTTTCTAGACCATGATCATCTGATTCATGATCAAAGCACTTAATGATCAAAAACTATGAAGAGACAAGGTTAAACAGAGAACATGTAGTCAGTAAAAGGCCCAACAAACTTCCCTGGACGGATTATTGACTAAACTGTGAAATACAAAGAATATGTAATGGAACAATCAGAATGGATTTCTTGCCTACATTTTTAAATATTATTTTTATATTTTTCCAAAATCAAGTTTACACTATGAGTTCACTTATAGTATGACTTCCACAATTCACTCTGCAGTGTTCTAAGTAAAGGACCGGAGTCAAGTTCAGATGGCTACAAAAATTTTACTTAAGACGTAAAGCGAGCCAAAAAAACAAAAACCACCACCAAAAAAAAAAAAAACAAATTTTCCTACTACTGACAAACTACCATACCGTGCCTTGGCATACATTCAACTGGGCTCTATGAAAGACTCACGAATTAATATTAAAATTCTCCATTAAAAGGAAAAAAGAAAGCGTAGAATGCCAGCTGGAAATACGATATAGCCAACCAAACTATTTCCCTCCCAGAAATTATCCCCCGCCTTCTATGTAAGTATGACTACACTTTACCTTTTGTTTTAAAACAAAACAAAACTATTGGAGTTGAGTCAAAAGTAACAAAACAGCACACTGTTCAACTTCCATTTTGTTAATGGCCTAATTTCAACAAGATCTGCTATAATCTTTAAGAGTGCTGCAGTCGTGCGCAGCGCGGTCTTGCGCGGCGTGGAGTGGCCTAGGGCCCGGCCCGGGAAGAACTAGGGGTCGGAGTGGCAGTGCCTTGCCCAGCCGGGATGGAGTGGGGTGGCCGGGACGGCAGTGCGCGGCCCGTGGAGGAGTAGGGGGCCGAGGTGGCAAGACCAGCGTACTCTCCCTGCCCCGGGAGGCCAGCGCATCGGCCGCAGCGCGTCCGGCCCTCCTGCATAGTCCGGGAGGATGGACACGAGGCCGCCGAATCTGCGGACCTGGAAATGTCACTCTCAGAACACATTTTGTGACGCGTCGCTGGCGAATAGCACAAAAAGCTAAGAATATATCGGGCATGCACGGCTTGGAAGGACCGGTCGCCGCTCCCACCCCCAAGTCCCGCGACCCAGGTTGTGGGAGAGGGAAATGACAACCGGCCCCGGCTCCCTTTCGGCGCGCGTCCGCTCACTTTTCAGCGCCGGCTCCTCGGCCCCAAGTTAGCTAAGAGTCCGAGCGCGGCGTCCGGCGCCGTGATTCAGCAGCGCCGGCGGGGGTGGAGGGGGGGGGGCGGCACCAGGTTCGGAAAAGGTCACGGAGAGCCGCGGGCGCCACCCGCGCCCGGATTCGGAACGCGCCGGGCAACGGCGGGGAGCCGGGACGGCGGCGGGCTCCTACCTTTCCTGCTTTTCGGGGAGCTCCGCTTGCTCCGGGCGCTGGCTCGCTCTTCCTCAATCGCAGCTGCTATCTCGGGGTTGTCTTCCCCATTGTACCAGACCAGGAGCTCCTCGCCCGGCGCGATTGGCTGCGGGGAGAGAAGAGACAGGCGACGGGCCAATCAGAGCGGCGTTTGTTGACGGGGCGGGGCGGGGCGGGGCAGGCGGGCGGCGCTCTCGACCGGGCGGCGCGCCGGAGGCCAACCCGGCAGGAAGGGCTCCTCCGCTTCGGCGGCAGCAAGCCGGGCAGCAAGGGAAGGGACCCTCTGCTGGAGGGAGGACCTCACTTCCTGGCCGCCTCCTCCCCCGGAGTCCGTCCGGTGGAGGTCGGGATCTGATAGGACCGGTTTAAACTTAAACTGCTTTATGCTTCAGAATCTTAGAAGCCTTAGAAGCCTCAAGACTACCCACGCAGAAAGAAAAAAACAAAACAAAACACGGAACCATATTGCCCATGAAATCTAAGCTGATGAGAAAATGTAAAGCGTAGTTTAAAAGAACCGGGTAGTCCGGAAAGAGACGTGCTGAAAACTAATTATCAGCGCAGGTTTCAAGAGTCCAAGAGCAAGTTAAGCATAAGAACCACATGCCGCTGCACACTTAAAAACGCACCGCTAATTATATCACGGAGATGCTAAAAGAGGCGGTGCGGAGGACGTGAGCGCCCTGGCAGCGCATTATCTCTGCGCTGCTGCCAACCTGCTCCGGTCCTTGGAGGATTCGCTGCCTTATCCTCTGTACTACACTTCGAGTCTACAAGACAACTTTGAAATTTAGAAGGAAATGCCTATAAATATCTCACGTGTCAACTCCTAAAACATTAATTCTTAAAGCCATGTATACACCATCATGCGGATTATACATAGAGAACAAGATCTTGAAGAAAAGATAATACTGAGTGGAAAGATTACACTCCTAAATAAAACTGAAGCAAATGGCTTATTGGTTTCTCTCACGATGACTCATCTGTCAAAAAGTTCCAAGATTACCAAAACAAGTAATATTCCACCAATAACCCCGTGAATAAAATAAAAATCCATGAGTCCAAGCTGACATGAATGAATGAACAGTCAAGTAAATAAGGAAAACTCTTCCTTCAGTAGATCCCAACTAATCAATGAAAAAGAAATAATGGAATTAGAAAATCACAACTAGACATTCATGACAGTAATAACTGATGCAGGCAAGAATCATCAATAGATGCTAAAACCAGTAGATGAAAGTTTGAAGAATAATATAGTATTTGCATGGTCTCAAAATATCTTCCCATAAAACATTAATGACTAAGTGAAAAACAGTATAAGTCATCAACATCATATGCCTCTTGATACAATGCACAGAAAAGAACACAGCATCACCTCTGGAGATTTCTGCCCCAAATACATAAATGTGAATTAATCATAATGAAGCTTAACAGAAGGCCAAACTGTAGGGACATTCTACAAAATTACTAATCAGTTCTCTCAAAACTGAAAGGTTATAAAAGACAAAGACTAAGGTGCTGTCCAAACTAAGGAGACTAATGAAACATTACAACTGAATGCCACGGAGTTTTCTTTGCCTAAAAAGACATGATTGGAACAATTAACAAAATTTGAATAAAGTGTGAAAGTGTGTTATTTTCTCAGTCGTGTCCAACTCTTTGGGACACCATGGACTGTAGCCCTCCAAGCACCTCTCTCCATGTAATTCTCCAGGCACGGATACTGAAAGTGGATAGCCATTCCCTTCTCCCGAGGATCTTCCCCATCCAGGGATCGAACCCTGATCTCCCACATTGCAGACAGATTCTTTACTATCTGAGCCATCAGGAAAGCCCCAGGATACCGGAGTGTACAGATGAGCTAATAAAATACTGTGCTAGTGTAAGCTTCCTGATTTTGATCACTGCGCTATACTTACGAAAGAGGACTGGATACCCTCGTTTTAGAGGCAGGAGAATTCCTGCCTATGATGAGAATTCCATCTATGATATCAGCTTAGAAACAACATAGTTCTTCAACATACCTCTATTCTAGATAAAGCCTTTGAAAGTAAATATTTTGTTTCATTCTTTGCAGAACTCAGTGATTATGTTATCCAAATTTTAAAATATTCTAAATTCTTTAAGATAAAAGAACAAGCCACTGTTTCCTGTTTCCCCACGGATGACTAAAACTTGTTGTTTTTGTCTTTAAACCAATGTGTTTTCCTTTCTTGAATCAGTTATATCTAAACCAAAAAAAATAAAACATGTATAAAATTATATAAAACATAAAATTTTAATGCATTAAAATATCCATTACCAATGCCTTTTGGTACCCTTATGAGATAACCTGTTTCTGTTGAAGGAATGAGCTTTTCTGTAAGTCAACTAATTCTAGTTCCAAGTGTATAGTATGCTTCTCTATGTTTTAATTACAAGTCACATATTTATAAAATGGTAAAGTGATATATATATAATCACTTGAATTAGAGTTTGCAGAACTATGTAGTGTTAAATAAAACCAAAGTAAAAAAGAACATGAAAAGGAGTGAGGAAAAATCTATCACCCATTTAATCCTAAACAAAACAGCCTAACCAGAACACTGACTAGAAAAACCCACCAGACCTCTTCAAGATTCCTCCTCGACTCAGCCCAAGTGTTCACATTTATTCCACTTCAACCTTCTGCAAAGTACTAACTGTACTAGCAACAGGAAGAAGTTGATAAATATCAGAACAAACTCTACTTAGGAGGGTACTCTTGTGTAGATGCTAAAAACACAAAACATCCCAATATCTGTCTTTACCACTAATACAAAATTTCTAAATGGTTAATGAGCAAGGAGATCAAACCAGTCAATCCTAAAGGAAATCAACTCTGAATATGCATTAGAAGGACTGATGCTAAAGTTGAAGTTTCAATACTTTGGCCACCTGATGAGAAGAGCTGACTCACTGGAAAAGACCGAGGGCAAGAAGAGAAGGAGGCGACAGGATGAGATGGCTGGATGGCATCATCGATTCAATGGACATGAGTCTGAGCAAACTCTGGAAGATAGTAAAGGATGGGGAAGCCTGGCATGCCACAGGCCATGGGGATGCAGAGTCAGGACACAACTTAAGAGACTGAACAACAACAATGAAGAACTGATGAATAGGTGAATGAATGGAGAGCAGGCTAACAATTAATCCTCAGGAATTTAAAACAGCGTTTAATCATATTACAAACAAAACCAGTGTTGAGATTTCTCAACTATCCAGTTGATAGCTGAGAAGGTGATACAGAGCCCAGAAGAATATCATGACATGTAAGTTATTTACAAAACCTAACCCATAGAAAGCTTAACCTTGCAGAATATAATCACTAGTAAAAGAATATAAAACACCTGATGCATACTTGAGCAAACTCAAAGGTCAGGATTGGAGGAGGTCTACAAAGATCAGAGCTACATTACTTCCAACAAAGAAAGGTAAAAATGACAGTACAGCTTTTTGTAACACTTTTGAGTACTTAGGTTAGACAAGGAACTCTTCACAGAATCTTGCACATGCTGGCTTGTTTAATTTTCATGACTGTATTATTAATGTTCAGCTTCCCCGGTAGCTCAGATGATAAAGAATCCGCCTGCAATGCAGAAGACCTGGGTTCGATCCCTGGATCAGGAAGATTCCCAGGAGAAGGAAATAGAAACCCACTCCAATACTCTTGTCTGGAAATTCTCATGGACAGAGGAGCCTGGTAAGCAACAGTCCATAGGGTCGAAAAAGAGTCAGACATGACTTAGTAACTAAACTTAGTAAATAACAACATTATTAATTTTACTATTACATCCATTTTTACAGATGAGAAAATTAAGACAGAAGGTGTAACTTCTCATGCTTCCCTGTCTTCTTCCCTGTGCTTCTCGAAGACAAAATCTGCTCACAAAGCAGTCTGCTCCAGAGTCCCTACTCCTACTCATGACGCTATCGTACCTTGCCAAAAATAACAGCTACCATTTATTTAGTACTTATCACGTGCTAGAACTCTACCCACAATCACCTATGCAATCCTCTTGATAACCCTCTGAGGTCAATATATAATTATCTGTATCTTACAAACAAAGAAACTGAGGCACAGAAAGTGACTTGCCTAAGGTTGCACATCTGGTAAAATCACAGTGACTTGCCTTGGGTCTCAGAGCAAGTGAGGATTTAATCCAGGAGTCTGGCTCCAGAGTTCACTCCCAAACACTATTCTCTCTTGCTTCTCAATGGTTCTCGGCTTTGCCATCAGAGATGAACACATCTCAACTTCAAGTCTGATGAAAGCATTGCCAAGTGTCCCAGCATCTCCCTGAGCTTCCTCTGCCCTGGAACCTCATTTCCACTCCCTTGACTGTCTCATATGCACCATTCATTGGTATTTCCTCTCCACCAGGATTCTCCTCACTGATGTAATCAGATGTAACTTCCACTTTAAATAAATTTGAGAAACAGAATGAATTCTTGAATCAAATTGTGAATCCAATCTCAGACTCCAGTGTAACAAAACTGTACAGTAATGCCTACTAGGAAATCATGGCAGAAAAGTCATCCAGCAAAAAGAAAATGGGAAAGAAGGTTATAGAAATTTTAAATAAGAAAGTACTACAAAGAAATATTTCCTGCAGGAACTAGAAGCAAGAATGTGGGTTTAGATGAGAAAAACGACAAACCAACTGGCTAAAGGCGACAGGGAAAAATACAAAGGAAAGCAAAGGAAAACTAAACAGCTCTAAAGATAACTTGCCAAGTTCTAGTGCTAGACACAGTCAAAACTCAGCATGCTGCAAAGATGACCATCATCTTAAATGCCTGCCCATCAAAGAGTTTTCAGCTCCACGGAGATTAAGTTTTTTCAAAGACTAGCCCGCAATCTATGTCATTTTTAATGGAAGTAAGTGAATAAAGGAAACCTGCCTTGCAGCAATTTTAGCAAACATATCTAATCCAGAAAGCAAAGAGCAACAATCCTCTCTCTTTAGAGCTTCAAGACTCAGCCTTTGGGAACATTTCTGTGTACGATGAGTGCAGATTTGCCTTCCAGGAGAACATGGAAATGAGGGAGACAGATGTGGGCTTGCTTGTTGCAGAGATAACAACCCTTCCAAATTCTAACTTCCCGGAATGTACTCAGTGACCTCTGACCTCATCACAAACTCTAAAAAATGATTTTCCTCTTTTTTTATCTCCACTATTAACATCTCCAAGTATAACTTTACAATAAGTAAGAAAGATGTTCTGTTTAATTTTCATTCTGAATAAAATTCAGGGAAAAGATGGGGCTTTCCTGGTGGCTCAGTGGTAAAGAATCTGCATGTCTAGGCAGGAGACACGGGTTCAGTCCTTCATCCGGGAAGATCCCACATGCCATGGAGCAACTAAGCCCGCACGCCACAACCATTAAGCCTGTGCTCCAGAACCCGGGTGCCACAACGACTGAGCCCACACGCTGCAACCACATAAGTCTGCATGTGCCAGAGCCTATGCTCTGCAGCAAGAGAAGCCCCACAATGAAAAGCCTGCACTGCAACTGGAGAGCAGCCCCTGCTCACTGTGACAAAAGAAAAGCTTGAGCAGCAACAAAGACCCAGCACAGCCAAAAATAATAAATAAATACACTCACATTAAAAAGAGTTAGGCAAAAGAAAAGCTAATCCAAAGCTACACTAGACTGAAGACTAAGAATGCGTTTTCTGTTCACAGAGAACTACCAGAGCTGTTGAGAGTTTCGTACAGTTAGATAAACTGGCCCGCCAGACAGTTCCCAATGCATTTGTGTCTTAAGAGAAGAATCTGCCACATGCTTAACTCATCAGTATCAATAAAGATGCTGTATGTAATTACTTAACACAATCTTCATGCTTTAGTGCCCTTCCTCACATAAGCAGTGGCAACTGTATAATTAAAACACAGACTTTTCAGGGTGGTGAATCCCATTCAACTATAACCCTTTCAAGGTCTGCACAGCTGTTACTGATAGCCATGACTAATGACAGCATTTGCAGAAATGCATGTAGAATATCTAACAGCAGACTAATTCTAATACTCTTACCTTTAAAGTTTTATAGTAAATGGCCCTGTTGATTTCCAGTGGAAATAAATTTTGCTCTTCTCCTGAGCAAGCCCAATTCACATAGCGCAGCCAGTTCCCCTTCTCTGGATCAGTGGCATCAATGCACATCCATCCCAAATTTGGGTAGTAGACCTTCGATGGGGGAAAAGGACAACTGTTAAAATAGGGTATCTTTTAAATGTCTTCATTTTCAACTTCTAAGACAATTCCTGTTCATTATATGGAAGTACTCCATAAAGGATTTCACATCAACAGAATAAGCAGCATAAAAAAGGAAAATAAAAATGAAAACTGAGGTCCAAAATGACACAATCCTCATTAGTTATTTTTCTATTTGGGTGTAATTTTTTTCTCCTAAACTTTATGTGCTATATAATAAGTGTGCTTGATAGTCTCCAAATCCTTCACAAACATGAACACAAAGCCTAACGATAGCTCTCCTCCCCATATAACAGAGGAAGTGAGAGCCTGCAGCAGTGATCCCCAGTACCCGAATGCCCTGAGCATCCTGGGCTGTTCAGCAATTCGAGAGTGGCGGTCCAGTCCTGCTGGGGTCCACAGCTGAGCAGGTGCCTTTGCTACAGTGCTGACAGAAACTTCAGTAAGGAAGCATGCAGTGTGAACCTCCATGTGGGTGATGGCATGATGCTCCTTCTGCAGACTCTGTTGACTTTAAACACTTCTCTACCCAGAGAATCTGTATTCTGGGAAATATCAGTCTCCTTCTGAAACAAGACCAAAATCCCGACCTGTCTTTGAGGAGACAGATCAACTCCACACTTGCAAGACAGAAGCCCTCCCTGATCATCCCCTCTCCATCAACTCCTCCTCCTAGAGGCCTCTGGCTCTCATTCCTTCATTTAAAGAGATTCTACTGAGCAGCTGTTTCTTACTTTGTAGATACACATACATACATACATCTATGTTCTACTTTCCCAAATTTAGACTGTAAAACACTTGATTAGGTACTGAAATAGAATCAATTGGTGACAGTCTGTGGGAAACAAAGCAAAAGAAATGAGTCTTCTACTTTCTCCTTTGCAAGAAAGGAGAGAATCTTAATGCTTCCATTTCTTTCCTACAGTTAAGACCATCACCGCTCAAGTCTTCTTTTCACGTTAAACACTGTTTGTTTACTGCAGGTTTCTTTCCTTCAGGAACAAAGCCCCCATCCTTGGCTCCTCTGGGCATGCCTGTGTCTCCCAGTCCAGGACTGCCAGGGCAGTGCCCAACATACTGGCCATGAACAACACTTTCTTCCTGCTAGGGGTTAGACGTCTGGCATAATGCTGCAGGCTTTCCATACTATCTCATTTAACCTTATGCATCAGTTTCATTATTACCCCTTTTTGCCACATGTGGCAATTAAGGATCAAAGATTATATAACTTTCCCAAAGTCACTCACTTAGTGAGTAGTAAAGATGACCTTAATCCCAGCTCTGCTTGACCTCTATTTATCAGTGCCTTCCTTGACCATCCCAGCTAAAACTATGAAGCCTTCTCTTCCCATCAGCACCCCCAGTTATCTAGTCATCTCCTGATTTATTTTTCTTCATGGTACTTATGCTCTTATTTTCCTACTTAGTAACTGTTTCCCCACACCACAGTATTAGCTCCATGAGAAGACATTTCATTCACTGTAGTGAATCAAATAAGACATTTCATTCACTGTAGTACCTCTAAGACCTTGCCCAGTGCCTGGCAGAGAGTAGGCTCTCAACAAATAACTATGAAATTAATGAAATGATATTATCATATACAAATGTATAACTGTCATCATTTAATGAGCACCTACTATGTGACAGGGATCATGCTAGAAAGTGCTTTGCAGTTACTTTATTTACTACCCACAAACTGTCAAGGAGAGTATTTTCACTATCCTGTAAGTACCCACAGTGAGTTTACTCAGCAGCTGGCTGTTTACTATAACACCTCTCTGCACCACCTAAAAAGAGGCTATACAGGTCACATTTGACTCCTTTTCAAACTCACTGTCACACTCACTCTCAGCTCGCTACAGACAAGCAGGCACACACACACTCTTCACCCTTGAAAACAGAGAAAGTGCAGGCCCACATGGTATGTGTAGAAGAGACAGAATCACAATACAAAACTTAAACTTTACACACCAAAATAATTTAAGGTGCTTTACTTTAAAATGCTTATAGATAACTTTTGCCAAGTTTGTCAGTATGATAAAATAACAAAAATGGGAATATTTAGTTGGTCTTTTAAGAGTGTCAGTCCATACTGGTTACTTTTTAATAACTTAGGGATGAAAAGTCTTGTTTTGATTTATCATAGGAGACAGCAGAGTTCCCACACACTCCCACGCACATAATGACACAGCTACAAACACTGCAGAGATAGTGCTGGAAAATCCCACACAGTTAAAGGCAGTTGGAAAGAAGTAACAAGAGTCTACTTACCACCTGGAGGATAACAATAAGACTGTGCTGGAATTTCCTGGCTGGCAGGTCAATAATGACCCTTGCAAAGAGCAAGGTGTTCCACTTGAGTAACGCTTTTATGTAGAGCTCACTTTGTTACAAAGGAGACTAAGGAATCTACTAAGTCATACTTAAACTAAATGCTCAATTTTAGTATACTAACGCATACATATGGGATTTTAAAAAATGGTAACGATAACCCTATATGCAAAACAGAAGAAGAGATACAGATGTACAAAACAGACTTTTAGACTCTGTGGGAGAAGGCGAGGGCGGATGTTCGGAGAGAACAGCACTGAAACAAGTATACTATCAAAGATGAAACAGATCACCAGCCCAGATTGGATGCATGAGATGGGTGCTCAGAACTGGTGCACTGGGAAGACCCAGAGGGATGGGATGGAGAGGGAAGCGGGAGGGGGGATCGGGATGGGGAACACATGTAAATCCATGGCTGATTCATGTCAATGTATGGCAAAAACCACTACAATATTGTAAAGTAATTAGCCTCCAAAGAATAAAAATAAATGGAAAAAAAATAAATAAATAAAATGCTCAATTTTATAGAAAAGATGAACACTTCAGTTTTTTAAAATGTGCAACTAGTAATTCACAAAGAAAAACACATGGCCAAAATCTCAAGGAAAAAAAGTAAATTTACCTAATAATCAAAAATAAGTAATTTTTTAAACTCGCAAATGGTTAAAAATTGTTTTTTAAGGAGAAAAAAAAAACCACACAGAATTAGAAAGCAGACATTCTCCCAAAATTCTGATCAGAGAATAAATTGGTACCTTTTTTTTGGATCAAACTAAGCAATACTGACTAAATAACTTTAAAATTCACACACTTTAATCAGCATATACACTTGCAGGAATTTATTCTCATGAGATATTGGGCAATCACACCAAGATGTATGTACAAAGATGTCCACAGCAGTGTGGTTTACCATAGACTCATTGTGAAATGGAGAACACCACAGATTAGCTCAGTACGGTAATACTGGAATATAGTGGAATACTAGACAGAACTTAAAAAATACTGTTGTATGAATGACTAACTGACTCATGTGAAACTTTTACTTTCTGTAATCTTTGTATTAAGAATTTTCTCAGTAATAAACAAACATTATCTCTATAATTAGGAGAAAAAGATGACCAGAAGATGTAGAAATATAAATAATCAGTAGAAAAGACAGTCATAATACACTGATGATTGAATAAAGCCATTTATAAAAAGTATGTTTTAAACATATGAATATATGAAGAGCAAAATGATCTGAAATCTAAATGCATGAATATGTTAATGGTTTCCTCAGAAAAATGTGATTCTTCATAATTTTCATTTTCTCTCTTCTGCTTATCTGAATTTTCTACCTTCCCTCCACTGATTTAGTGTAATCTTTAGGTAAAAAGGGAAGAGGGTGGGGAGAGCAAGCTAGGAAGGCAGCCAAGCTCTGCTGAATGCTAGGCTCAGACTCCCATCCTCTTCTCATCACTGTCACCTTCATCATCACACACACATCTTTAAAAAAATATGTAGCCTTCTCATTTTCATTGAGTCTCACCTGTAATTGAAACTGGGATGAAAATGTGTTTTCATACAATTTCTACCTTAGTTGGAATTCCAACTGGTTTCCAACCAGAGTTAACTTCAGTGACTGATACACAGAACCTTATCTCTAAAATGTGACAGAATTACGCTCAATATATGTGCAAGTTACGAGACTGCACATGTATCACCACACCATGAAGTCAGGGTGGGGAAAGACAGGGAGAATGAGACTCCTGTCCTTTCAGGTAGAGACAGTGCAAAGACAGGTCAAACTCACACCCCAGCTCTAACTCAACAATGTTACATAACAAATCTATTTCCACATCCTTATAAGGACCAAGAAATACTCAGCTGACTTGATCCTAAGGAGAGATACTTCCAAATAATCAATAGTTTTTCCTCTGTAAACAGTCTCTGTTTACAAAGCAAGGGTACCTAATTATGTCCTATTATAATTTTTACAAGTTGACTTTCAAATAGAAATACTCTACTTGGAGAGAAAGAAAAGCAGGCACTTCTACACCAAGCATTATTAACCTTTACAAGAACCCTGTGAAATATTAGTAAGCCCCTTTTATAAATGGGGACACCAGGGAAAGATGGGTCGGTAATTTTACTAGAACAGTGAAGTCACTAAAAGTCAGAAGTGAAGAAGTGAAGTGAAAGTCACTCAGTCGTGTCCAACTCTGCAATCCCATGGACTATACAGTCCATGGAATTCTCCAGGCCAGCATACTGGAGTGGGTAGTCCATCCCTTCTCCAGAGAATCTTCCCAACCAAGGAATCAAACAGAGGTCTCCTGCATTGCAGGTGGATTCTCTACCAACTGAACTATGTGGGAAAGTCAAAGTCAGGATTCAAACCTGGTTCTCTCATCTGTGCCTGCATTTCTGTTTCTTTTCTCTTTCCAATTTCCTCATCCCATCCTTAACCTTCCCTAGGTCATCAAGGCCTAACCTCCTTTCTGTCCCTACCACTAAACAGACTAGCTATTAACTCACTGTCAAACAGAATGTAATTCTCACATCACTCAAATCCCTTTGAATTGAATCCAATCATTTCAAAAGCCATAAAATAATGTAAACTCATATTTCAGTACAAGCATGTTCAGTCACGCAGAGTGGGT